TATTTTTTTTATCTGTCTGAGTTGTTTTTTGGATAAAAAAAAAAAAAAAGATGGTTTGAAGGAAGGTAGGGATCAACAGGTCCTAACTGAGTTAAAACATTTTTATAATCATTTTGCCCAAGCCCTCAGGCACGGATGTAAGAAAGCAAATGTAGTTTGAAACGGGTTTGCTTTTTGTCTGTGTGTGTTTGAATGATAAGCTGCAAACACTCCTGGTGCTGGGTGGCCCCACGAACAGGCTATTCCAGATATCACCTTTCTCCGCCTCGGCCTGTGCCCCGTCTGTGTTTCTCTCAGAGTGTTGGCGTTCCAGAGCTTCTCATCCAAGCAAGCTGTTACATTTTGACCTGTCATCCCAAGTTGATTCATTACCGTTGCTGATGCACGTGAATATATATATTCTGTGCATGAACTGTCATGAAGAACCTGCTCGGGGAAAGAGGGACTTTTTTAATTGGCAAAGACAGTTAATCAACTAGTGATTAACTCCTTTCTTCTGTTTGTTTGTTTCTCCTGCTGTCTTTAGTTGTCAGCAGTCTGCTGCAGTCTTTGTTAGGCGGGTAAAGCACTTAAATGTTTATAAAAGAAATATCTGTGCAGCGGAGCGCTCCTCCCTGAGGTGGTACAGTATGAGATGGTTATCTGGACCACACTGCATGAACAACTGTTGTTGCAGCGCTGCACTGTCTCACTCTCTTTGTTTAGACGTGAATGGAAAGGAGAGTAATACACTGGTTGTAAACACAGGAGAGCTACCTTCCAGTTTAATTGCGTTGCTTCCAGTAAAAAAAAAAAAAAAAAGTTCAACTGCATTTCTGAAAGACTCCTAATGAACATGTTTCACTTTAAGGGTTCAAATTTACACATGTAGGTAATAGGTAATAAACTAAACATCAAGAAGATTATAGTGTCTTGCTAAAGTATTCATAACCGTTGCATCTTTTCAAATTTTGTCACTTGAAAACCAAATGTCTTTGTTCTATTTATTTGCTTTTTTTATACGATTAAACTTCCAGAGTTGTGCAAGAAAACATGTTTTAATTTGGGAATGAAAATTATTCAAACGTTGGTTTTTAGCAAACATTCTTCTTCCGGTCTGATGGAGCTTCAGCTATTTTCTAAACGTTCCCACATGCTCTTAATTGATTTTATGAGTTTCTCTGGATCATTGTTATATTATGTATGAATAAACAATGAACTATATCATTGCATTTGTGCTCTGGTTGAATGTTTATGCTCTATATCAGGCTGGAAGGTCAACCCTTGCCCTCAAGTCTTCTGCAGCCTCTAGCATGTTTTCTTCCAGTATTTACCATGTGTTTAACTCCATCCTTCTCTCCATGTTAAAGAAAGCATCCCTAAAGCATAATGCTGCCACCACCGTGTTTTAATTGAAATTTCAGTTTTCGTCAACACCTAGGATTTGGTTTTTATGATTTCTAGCTAAACTAGACCTCTGCTGCCTCTCTTTGCCTGTTTTCTCATTAATCATCTCCCTCCCTGCCCTGTTATTTTTCTTATTTGATATATTTTGGTAGGTTGGGCTGTGCTCTCTGTTTTCAGGTAAAGATTTATGGTTAATGATGCTCTAGGTTTTCTAACAAACTTCTGAGGCCTAAACAGAACAAGTGGGTTTATAGTGAAATTAAATTAGTTACTATTAAATTAGGTACTATCTAAACGCAACTTGTTGTCTATCAAGTTAAAAGGAACTGAATAGGAATTTACTCTTTGTTTCATATTCATCGAACAAAATGTTGAAAATCAAGAATATATTTTTCCTGCTCACTGATATGCAGTAAGTACATCCTGTTATTTTATCACACTATACTAAATAAACTAAAAGATACCTGATTTTACTATGCATAGACTCTTTCACTACTGATACTTTTCGTCTCCCGCTTTATTCGGGACTGGTTCTTGAGGGCAACAGTCTCAGTAGAGACTTTTCAGACCCTTTCCGCAGACACTTCCTCCAGCTCTGCTGGGGGAAGCCCGATTAGTTGCCAGGCCAGCTGGTCACATCCCTTTCTAAAGGGATGTGTCCAGTGGGAGAAAGATGTCTGAGGCACCTCAGCTAACTCTCCTCGACGTGGAGGAGAACCTGCTCTTCTCTGAGCCCCACCTGAATGACTAATTCTCATCCTGGCCTCTTCACATTCAGCTCAAAACCATCCAAGTGCATGCTGTAGGTCTTGGCAGGAGGTAGCCAGCAGAACCATGTCATTCGCAAAAACCAGGGATGAGATTTGCTGGTCGCTGAACGAGACCACCTTCGGTCCTCGGCTGTGCCTTGAAATTCTATCCTATCCTATAAGCCTGAAGCACCCCCCTTAAATCACCATGAGGGACCCAGTCGAATGCCTTCTCCATGTCCACAAAGCACATGTGGACTTCTTGGGCAAACTCCCATGAATCCTCAAGCACCCTGCAGAGGGTGTAGAGCTGGTCCACTGTTCTTTGACCAGGATGAAAACCACACTGTTCCTCCTGTAGCTGAGGTCCAACCATCAGCCAGACTCTCTCCAGCACCCTGCCATAGGCCTCATCGGGGAGGCTGGGGAGTGGATTTCCTTATAGTTGGAGCACATCTTTTTTGTGCAGGGGAACCACCACCCCGGACTGCCAATCCAGTCACACTGTCCTGAAGGGTGACTGGATAAGGGTGTCAACCAAGACAGCCTGACAACCAAGACAGCCTGACAACATCCAGAGCACTAAGGTACTTGGGACGGATCTCGTCCTTCCCTGAAGTCTTGCCAACATGGAGTATTTTTGACCACCTTAGTAAATTTAGCCTGGATCATGAAAAAAACGGCCCTGAGCATCCAGTCTCTTCTTCCACCATGGAAGGCATGTCAGCTGGATTGATTAGTGCCTCAACGTATTCCTTTCCCATCCACCAATGTCCTCTTTCAGGTTCAGCAGCTCTCCATTCCCACTGAAAGCAGTGTTAGCAAAGCACTGCTTTCCCATCTATAGACGTCAAACGTTTTGCCAGGATCGCTTTGAAGCCAACCGATAGTCTTTCTCCATGGCCTCTCCTCCCAGGCCAGAGTTTTTGCCTCTGTAAGTGGCATGCTTGGCATCATGATACCCGTGTGCTGCCTCAGGAGTCCCGGAGGCCAACCAGGCTAGATTGGACTCCTTCCTCAGCTTGACAGCATCCCCTACCTGTGTCTACCAGAGAGTTTGGGGATTGCCACCACGACAGGAACCGCAGACCTTATGGCCACAGCTATTGACAATAGAGGCAGAGAAGATGGCCCACTCAGACTCCATGTCTCCAGCGTCCCCCGGAATCCCCAACATGAGACAGCTGATCTGGGAGAATACAAGCAGTCCCACCCCCACCCTCTCCGTGAAGGCCCGACTATTTCTAGCCGGTATCGTTCAGATTCCCACACAAGCAGGGGCTTCCTTCCCCAGTGAGGTGATATTCCACGTCCCTAGAGCCAGTCTAAGTGCCGGACAGTTGGGTGGTCAAGGCCCCCGTTCATGACTGCTGCCTGGTCCTCTTTGCACCGGTCCCTCACAGTTCCCACTGCAGATGGTGAGCCCACTGGGGGTCTTGCGTTACTCCTTTGGGCTGTTCCTGGGTGGGTCCCACAAGGATGAACCCAGCCACCAGACGCTCGCCGACAAACCCCAGCCCTAGGACCAGGGTGGGGTCCTTGCTCTGCTGTACCACCTGACGCAAGTGCCTCAATTTTATAGATTTTTTTTTACCATCACGGGGCTTTGTGAAATTTTTATTTTCTCTATATTAAAACATTCATAGGATCTCTTAGACTGTTCTGCTGGATCATGTTAACGTTGTAACTACATCACCCCACAGATTTTCCAGAAATTATTTGAAACGAACATTTTCAAATTACTCCTTGCATGAAATACTCTGCACAGCTCATTTCTAGCATAAACACACAGTCACACACACATCTCTTTCGCTGAAACACAGTCTCACCTTTGTCTGCCAGCAGTGAGTAGCTGGCAGTTTTAGGGGGTTTCTCATTAAGCCTCATTATATTCATATTTAGCATTATTAGCCTGGTCAGCAACCTGGATCACACAAAGCAGAAAGGGATTAGAAATGTTTGAGGGATTGTTGGAACAGTCAACGCTGTCTTACAAAGAAGTCCAAGACAAGCTGGGAAGTTCCCTTCCTTATTTTCCTTTTTTACCAACCAACAAATACAGTAGCCCTTACGTCTGCAAAGCGCTGAGTATGCTTGGAAAGCAGACATCAAGCACAGCTTCAAACACGTGTTTGGGAGATTGAGGAAAAAGATATATCTTCAGGCATGTAGTGTGAAGTTTGCCAACAGCTGCAAGACTTATCCTTTTTTGGCCAAAGTAGAGTCTAAATTATTTTCCTTTCTTGTGCTTTTTGAAATGACTCACACAGGCTTCCCACAACAACAAAAATGCATGAATACATGCATCACCTGAAGCTGTGGGGCCTCCAGCTGATATAAGCCATGCCTCTTTCTGATCCGGTTTTCTGAGACAAATTTGCAGGGGTTTTTCCCCCTGTGTCCATACACAAAGCATGGCAGCTCTTTGGGTCATTTAAGGACTTAAAGCTTTACTTTGTTGGAGAACACGGCAGTTAACGGATGAATTCTGATTTAGAGGATTTTGTGATGGCGACAGTGCTGATTCAGTTCATCCCCAATTGGGCTTAAATGTTTGTGTTTATTATCCACTGGAGGAATCAAAGCAGAGATAATTGATTTTTCTACTGTGTACTGTCCAATAAATGCGTTCCTACTCCTTTGTGTCCCACTCAACAGGTGTCCGTTCCACAGAGCAGAGGACTTAATCCAATGCACCTGCCTTCTTACGAAGCAAAGGAATTTTCTCCTTAGCCTAATCCTCCTGATAGTTTTTCAACAAAATCTTCCTCACATTTATTCCTCTCATTGTCACCTGTTTAATTTCATCCTTCGTTATTGCTTTCTTCTCCACAGCTAATGACTTTTCCATTTTACTGTGTGCAGGGAATTGCCTCCGTTCTGCAGCGCAGATCTGACAATGAAGAGTATGTGGAGGTCGGACGCCTTGGGCCCTCTGACTACTTTGGTGAGACTTTTCTAAATGTTCTTTTTCTCCTCTTCCTTATATTTAATTCCTTTCATAAATGAAATACTATATTTAATATAGATAAACACAGTGGAAAAGCCATATTTTTTTAGCAATAAATATTTGTTTTTATATGTTTTTTATTAAGCCCAGTTTAATAAAGTGATTAAAAGTAGCTTTTGGTTCACCAAAGGCTGCTTGTAAATAAAAGTCAATGGATAGATGTCGCCTTATTCACTATAAAATTAAGGTTATGTTATTGAAGTACAAACACTTTCCACAGAATCTAAAACTCTCCAAAGCACAAGCAGAAAATCTAAACTCGGTAATAGTTTTACTTAAAAATAGAACGTTTCTATTTTTATCAACCACCTGTGCTGGTGGGTCAAATTCTTCTGTTTGTTTTTTTTTTTTTCTATTGCCCTTCACTAGCCAATAACAAAATGACAGACACTGCACAAAATCTGCTACTTGAAATAGGCCAAATATTTTTTAATAGGATCAAAATACTTGTTTGAGAGAAAAACGGAATACATTTCTAAATCAGAGTTGTTAAAGTGGTCTTACTCTTACTCCTGGATCTTATCCAGAAATTTGATTATTTTTTCATTCTTTCATTGGAAATTCTAATAGTTTTCTAAAAAACTTCTGTTTAAGATGAGCAAAAAAATCTTATTAAAAACTTAGACATATTGTGAATACTGTGTACAAAAAACACCAGAAAAAACAAGAAATAATGTCACGGGAATCAAGGGTTTTTGCATTTTCGAAACATTTTTTTTTCATTGGAATCAGTCCAGAGGCTGCAAAATGGGAGTTTGGATACCCTGGTTTAGGGCTTAACTATCTTGTTAAGGCTTCTTTGTTCACAATTATGTCTTATATTTTTTTAAATATAAGATTTTCTGCAAAAAACAAATAAAAAAATTAATTTAGCTGTAAGCTATTATCATTGATATAAACTGGCAGCAGTCTCTTACAGGTAATACTCTGTGGAATAAATCTGTATATATTTTAATTTTATGAATTGCATTTCTGGAATAAATGAACCTTTTAGAAAGATTTAGATTGACTGATATGTGATCCCCTCGGCTGCATTTAGGCGAGATCGCCCTGCTGCTGAACCGCCCCCGAGCAGCCACCGTTGTCGCCCGTGGGCCCCTCAAGTGCGTGAAGCTGGACCGACCCCGCTTTGAGCGCGTGCTGGGGCCGTGCTCTGAGATCCTCAAGAGGAACATCCAGAGATACAACAGCTTCATCTCCCTCACAGTGTGAGGGTCCCCTCCCACTCCACCAGCAGGGTGTGCACCATCATCAGCAGCATCACAGGTCTAGCGTAAGGGTTGTTAACTGGGGGGTGTGAGGACACAGTGTGGGAAACGGGGATTTTAAATCTAAATGACACAAAAAGCTTGTTTCCTACCTTTGATTCTTTCATTTATCGCTTTTTTTTTTACTTGTGCACTTTGACTCTATCTTTGTCATGTAGCTTTATGTCATAAACAGCGCAGGAGCAGAAAAAAAGCTGAACAAGGACAGAAACCATCGAATTCATGAAGTTATGAGTCATGATGCACGTGGGGGACTCGTACAAAAATGGTGTTTGCACTTTGATGTATTTTAGAGAGCATGTGGATACCTTCAGGAATCACAGAGGAAGTGAGGTCATGTTTACGCACAGCGGGAGAAAGTGGCGTCACATTTCTATGCTCGCTGGATGTCGTTGCGTTTTAATGGATTTTATTTTCACCTCTACCTGTTGGTTGTATCATTTCTCTATCAAAACAGAAAGGCATTACACAAGTCTTTGTTCGCTGAAATGTACTGTAGTCAGACAGGTATGAAGAACACTTTTTTTTTTTCTGTTTTGTTATTTTCTTTGCTTCTAAAGGATGCTTTCAGTTCGATTAACAGGTTAAAGGTGATTAAATGTAGCTTGGGACTGGTTTGTAGATTGTTTTTAATACTGAAGTGAAACAATAATGAACGTTAAAATATCTTGAGTTAAAACTTGTACTGTCTGTGCATCGAGGGTGTGATATAGCTCATTGTTGCTTTTAGCTTCACTGGTTTCCGTATGCTTGCTGTTTTGGAGCCAACTTAGGTCTAAAAAGTCTAAAATAGACAATTTTTAACTCATTAACTTTAACGTTTCTTAATTTTTCCATTAAAACCTTCTCGCCTACTTTCTGCTGCTTCCAGCTCCCCCCTTAGAGGTGCACAGATCAGAATTTTTAAGGCTGATTTTCAAATTAAGCATTTGGGATGTTTAGTTTTACGCCCCCACACACACCATCTTGCTCAAATAAACATTGAACCTCATCCAGCCAGCCTTGTCAGAGATCCACTTTTTTTAATCTTCATAATTAATATTTTGACTGCAGATCCGGGCAAGTTCAGACTAGAAGCTATTTACCTGTAGCCATTTCCCCAACTTATAAAGATCTGCTCACATCTGCCTTAAGTCAGACACACTTAGTTTGATTCCAGGTATAGTCTTTAACATGTGACCTCCATAAATTAAAATATTTGTAGTAACGATGACACACTCTGGAATAAATTTGCCAGACTGCTAAAATTTCAGCCGCTCTTTCATTGGAAGGCAAGTTTTCTATGTAGAGTTGACTTAAAAGAAGGAGTTAAGGATGTGGAAAAGGAAAGATTTTTGACGTTCTTAAACTTTGAGAAATAGAAAAGTAATATTTGTTTTTTCCCTCATAAAAGTTTAGACACTGCTCGATATATACTGTAGGTTGTCTTTTTTTATAGAGAGAACTGTGTTCTCCCTTATTACTGGCCTTAAAGATTGGTTTTGGCACCTGGCTTCTGTGTCACCTCATAATAATTCCCCAGTGAAACAGAAAGACAGTGATTTCTAACTAAAACTTAAGGCACTCTGATTTATTTTTTTTTTTTTTACAATCTTTCACTGTTACATTATGCTAGTAAAATAAAAGTGGATGTTTTTGTAGACCTCTGTAATCGTGGTTTATAAAAGCACAACTAATAATCCTATAACTGAGTGGGTTGTATAGCTGAGCTATTTATCCTGATCAACATATAAAGTGTAAGAAGTTGGCTAAATAGAATAATTGGGGTGAGCCCAATTAAGCAGATCTTCTTATATAATTATAATCTTTCCTCAGCCTGTGAAAAACTCCACCGTCACCAATGAGCGACATCAGACTTTTCACACACAGATGGTACCTATTTGGAATTTTCATTTCATTCCCGATTTTAACTCTTCCGTCAGATTAGTTGTTAGATCAACAAATATTCTGTGATTTTAAAGTTTCTTTTTTTTTTTTTCTTCAAAGGTTCAGTGGTGTTCTCTCCACACCACTAAACCTTCTAAGCTGACATTGTCTCAGGACTGAATGAATATATATTCAACACGCACATCTTACCTGTGGCTTGTTTTCTGAGCACATTCTTGTTTGATGTTTTAATGCTTTCGGGCCACTTTGGAGTTTAAAACTTTGGGGGCAGCACAGTAATCCGATTTAGATATTTTCAAATGATCTGGATAAGAGAGTTGAGAAAACGAAGAACTTGTGTTGATTTCCTTTAATTTAGAGGTGTGTCAACATTGCACAACTGACCAGATGTTGTAAAACTGGGACCTCCTGAAAAAGAGTCTTTCTGTATTTCACTTTCTCTGTATCTTTTTTTTTTTTTCAACTATCAAACCATCTCTGGCAAATAAATAAATAAAGATAAGCTTCTGAACTCTTATGTTTTATGTTTTTCTTTCTATTCCACTCCTTGTGTTCCTTGATTTGGTGTGACTTTTCCTCTTTTGGCTCCTTCTCCTCCCCTCATATTCTGACCTAGTGGGTATATGTCTGTTAATTCCCTTTTCTTTCCTGTCCAACTCTTCAGTCACATCGCTCATATTACTTCCTACAGGCATCCACCTCTTCTTTCCACCCTCCTCTCTTGTCTTTTGTGAGCTCTCCATCTTTCTCCTTCTCACGTTAAGCCAAGTGTCAGTCATCCTTCATAGCGGGACTGTCAGAAAGCTTCGGAGCTCCTCCCAGGCGGTTTTACACCACCTTGGACTAAAGCCTCTGCAGCTTTGACACATTCCTCTTCATCTTAATGTCCACTAAATCAACTGAGGAATGTGCCCCCAACTCACTGACATTCAGTTTAATACTCCCCTCTCCACACAGGCACTGAATGAAACATTGTACGGAAGCACACTTTAAGAAGTTAACTTTTTAAAGGTTAAAATGATATAAAATCTTTTTGTCTTTCTGCCCTTTAGGTTCCCAGGTTGATGTCAAACCATTGATGCAACAGTTTTAGTCCAAAAATTGTCCAAATTTGACTAACTTTCCTAGCCTCAGTAGGAATGCATCAGATACTGAAGCTGCAGAACTGAAGATATATATTGATAAATGATGCATGAAGAACCATATTTCATCCTGTACAGAATTTTTTTTATGTTTGTGCAGTTTCGCCACATTTAAAAGTTAAAATAAAAAACAATTTTTTTCTTTTCTTTATTAAAAAGCAATCTAGAGTCTCCCATGTCAAAGTTTGTGGTGAACAACCATATCTTCTTCTGATTATGGTTTCCATAGCTACACCTAGACCTGATTATTGCCTAACCTGTCAGAACAGGAAATCATGTTATTGAAACCAGTCTGACTAAATAAAGTGGGATAAAACGCTTAAAGAAGCTACACACCATCCCTGATCGTACATAAAAAAAAATCAATAAACAAACCAGTTAACATCCATCGGTGTGGAAAAGGTTAGAGGGTCTTTTTTAGGAACCACAGTTGGACGTTATTTACAAATGAGGAAAACATGGAACTGTGGTGATCTGTCCCTGTAGAAGGAGACTCACAGAAAGCCTGAGCTTTTACACAACTAAAACTAAAACAGCGTTTCAGAAAAAGAACAGCGTAGCCACAGTCAAACATGGAGGCGGTAGTGTGATAATTTTAGGACTGCTCTGATGTATTTGGTCAGCAGCTCTATATTATAAACTTGTTTGATCTTGAAGGTGAGTGTGACAAAAAAAAAGCATAAACAGAAGGAATATGGAAGGAGGCGCAGTGAGTTTCATAGATCTGCACACGACTGACTGGGAACAGAAACATTGGTGACTTAAACTTTACTAAAGTTAGTGTGAGCAATGGAAAATAATTGTTTTAGCTACTATGTTTTTAAGGCCCTTTAGTTTACCTCTAGGCAGGTGAAAAGCTAGCCTGGGTGCCAGTCCGAACTTAGTCCCGCCCACAAGGTTTGAGTTTGGGGAAGTTCGGTCTGGCTCTGCTCCATAGTAGCGCGAGTATTAAAGCCCACTGTCAGGCGATCCAATCAAATTGTCAGGGCGGGCTTTATACGATGATGGACAGATGATCAAGAGTAACGTTATCAACCACGTGACCAAAGCGCGCTTGGGTGACAACAATAATGGCTGCCGCTGGAGAGGTTAGGTGAGTAGATTCTGCTATTAGGTCTGTTCTAGAAGATATCGACAGCAAATTAATTTTAAAAGAGGAACAGAGAAACGCGATCAAGTCTCATCTTCTTATTCTAGGCGTGAAACTGCACGCTTTGATTTTTGTGGACAACAACTATGCCTCGCTTAAGATACGTCACGCACTCCGTTGCTCTTATTGGTTGTAGATCTATCCAATTGAGTACAGAGGCATTTTTTTTCCTGGTTCGTTCAAAACACGCCCCATAATCACAGCTCTATGGAGCAGTATCAGACTCATATTCTGACTAGAATTGAGTCGGACTACGTCAGGCTAGTGAAAAGCATCAACTTCACAAAAACCCATTCAATGAAACTTAACTATGTTCTGCTATTTTTCAATGATTTATCAAAAATAATCCAGCATTTATATGACAGGGTGTCCTTAAATTAAGAAAAGCAGAGCTGGTCACCTAAGCCTTCCCTTTTGTTTGAGTGGCTATGTGTCCAGAGTCCCCGATTAGACACGGCCATTACTGAGCCATCCTGGGTGGGCTAGCTAAGGACAAAACTTGGCACTGTCACATGGGTTGTGTTATGAATTTCTGACACGGTGGAACAGAGCCAGTATAAGAGTAAACACAAACACACACCCTTTCTCTCTGTGCTACTTTTATATTAGATCATTCAGCCCTGCTGCTGAGCTCCTAATGACCCTCAGTCTGTCACACAGCTTCCTCAGACCCCACTTTAAAACAATATCTCACCAGCTCAATCCCTATGCTCTTATTTGTCATTGGTTTTCATGTCATTGGTTCCATTTGGCCGTCATGCCTCTCAGAGCAGACAGAGGTGGACTATGAAAAATTAAGAGCAGAAGAAAACATGAAGCGGTGCATCACTGTGAGAATATTAGCAAATAAAACTAAAAAGTGGTTTATTTTTATATTTGTTTTCTATTTCACAATCATCCATCATTTAAATTTGTCTATCAAATGCAAATCAGAATTATACACTAATCTTTAGAATCTTGGAACTTGTGAGTAAAAGAAGCGGAAGATCACGACACACACTGGGGCTCCATTTCTACATCTTTTTATACTTTTAGTGAAGTCCTGAGTAAATTCCTGTGAGAATCATTCACATAAACACTTTACAGTTTCTCCTATCACGGAAAGATCCCCCCACCAACCCACCCACTCTTTTACAGTGTGGCTTCTCATGCGCATCCCTCCAGATTCCAAGTTTTGTATAATGAGTGCCTAAAATTTACAAGATTAGCTCTCAGGGAGGAATTTGGTGTGTTTGTGGATTTTTTTTGCACTCACACTTTTATGAGAAGATATTTAAATCTGGCTCACTGCCACTGGGTGTGTGAGCATCACCACTAACCCCCCCACCTCCTTTTCCTTGAATCTCCCTCTTTTGTTTTCTGCCCTCTTGCTTGCTCTCTGTGTTCCCACAGATTCCACCTCTCTTCCATCTCCCCCCTCCTCTTCAGTGGAGGGATTCAGGCTAATTAAAATGCTTGGTGATCTTCATTGTTTATCCCTTTTTTTTTTCTCTCTCTGATCCAATCACCCACGCCTTCCCAACCACCTGCGCTCATGGTCAGCAGCCCTTTTAACACAGCTGTCAGGATAGATTGGGTGTGGCGACCTGTCTGCTTCAGAGCTGGGTTTAGCCAGGCTGAGTGAAAAAATCTCAGTCCAGCGGCCTACTATCCTTCTGTTGGGTCCTTGGTTCTAATTCCACTCTAATCGTGACCTTCTCAGGTCAAAGGCTAACACCATGGCTTGGTTACAGGTGGCTGAGCAACAGTCAGGCTGATGGGATTGATTGGATGAGCGAGATGTCGAGGCAATATCAGAGGGAGGAAGATGGATGGACAGATAAAGGAGTAAAACCCTGAAAATTATGTAGAAAAAGCTAAAAAAAAATGTTTCATGTATACTTTGTAGGAAGAAAAAAAAAAATACATAAAATAAAAACAGAATAGGGAATAAAAACCTTATTTCCTATTGGGACTTTTTATTGTAGAATACTTTATTAATATAATTTCTATTGTGCTGTTGCATATTTATTTAAATATTTCCGCAACTGCATGTTTAAAAAAGATGTATCTAGGTTTCTTTTTATTTTTGATTTGATCCTAATGTAATTATGCATATTTGTATTATGCCCCTTTTACCCTGACGACCTGAAACCAAATCTGGTACATGACCATGACCTTCATGACCAAAACCGTATTGTGGTGGAAAATGAAGCTGCACAACATGCAATACAATAACCCCATGATCAAGCACAGTGGTGGAAGCATCATGCTATGGGGATGATTTTCTTCAGCTATGCACCATACACTAACTAATTGAAATATGTATAATTATTTTTTGTTTCTTGTCTTTATTCCCAATAAAAAAGGTCTCTGGTTAAAAAAAACAATAAAAAAAAACATTTCAGTATTTGGTGATGCTCCCTCTTCAGCCATAAAGGTGTTTCTGTGACTCTTGTAAAAGTTACCAAAGAATTTAAGCTGGGAATAAGATATAATCACTTATTTACTTTAAACTTTTTTCCCCACTTCCTGTTAAGGTCAAGCCAGCTCACCCCCATTGAGGCACATAAAAGAAATTAAAGACGAGAAATGGAGAGGAAAAAAAGACAAAGAATGAAAGCTACAAAAACCAAGTGGATGAGATATCATCTGTTTGTTATTCTGCTTTTTTTTTTCCCAAGCTTGTTATCGTTCCTCATTTCCTGCTGGACGACAAGTAAATAATTCACATGTATACATGTACCAACACTGAGACCGGGCCTCCCCATCTTGCCTGAGTTTTGGCCTCAGTTTCAAAGCTGTTTCCCAGTAAGCCAAGCCTCCGAACGACGTGTAGAGAAAACAAATCGAAGACAGAAATATCTTTCGACAATCTGCATCACTGAGTCAAACACGCACGCATACAAAAAGAGTCAGAAGCAGTTTTCAGAGTAAGATATTCCATCATGCACATGATTCTGCAGCCTCCTGCCTTCCATCGTTCCAAACCAGCACAATACATCTCTTCAGCTGGGCTCTGACTTCACTCCCAGGGGAGGCAGCTCGGCAGTTGTCTAAATTATTTCTTTTTTCCGCTGCTCCTGTTCTCAGGGGAATCATTGAGGATTAGAGTGGAGATCGTTAAAATGCTTACACTCTTTTCTAATCACATTAGGAAGATGAAGGAATGCAATAAGAGAAAAAAATTCCCTACTGGGCTGTTAGGAGAATAGTCACAAAGGCTCTCTCATGATCATGATGAGA